CGGGTCCGGTGTCTACAGCCCAGGCTGAAGCTTCGAAAGGAGTCGCCCGGAATTCGTCTATTGACTCGGCGATTTCAGCAATATCCAGCAAGTCAGGCACAACTGGGAGTCAAGATGGTCCACATGGACCTTCAGAGATTGCTCATCTTATTAAGACAGCAGGCAGCCCCGAGACCCTTATCCAGTACTTGCTGAAAGAGAAGCACTCCCAGTCACAGCAGAACAGCCAGTTATGGCGTCTAGTGGACAAGCAACGGGCCATGATTCTCGGCCTTAACAAGGACTTGGAAAGGGCTTTGAAGGATAAGGAAAAGTACAGGAAGAAGCTAAAAGAAGTCATTTCACTTTCCTCTGCTTCGGTATCACCTCAAGAGAATACCCAAGAAGCTATTGAAGTGCCTGTGCCTTCGCTTCCACGGGTTGATATTGAACGAGCTAAGGAACAAACCACACCAGAGTCACCAGTCCTCGAAGCAGAAAGTCCTCGAAATTCACCAATCGATATTACCATGGCGCCTTATCCCATTACTCCTCCAGCAGATCAGCCCAGCGCACCACATTCAGCTGTGGGCGAACTCTTGAACCCTGCACATGCTATGCCCAAGCCGCAAGACCACGCTTTAGACAAGTACGATCACGAGGCTGAAGAACGGGCCGCTGAGGAGGCAAGGAAGGAGAAGGTTGATGAGCCTCTGAAAGAGATTCCCTACAATGTCGCCATCCCTCCATCACGTAGCCTCCCCAGTGAACCGCCCAAAGTGCCACCGCCAAAGCCACCGGTAAACCACCTTCCTACAGTCGCAGTTCTCGAGGCTACTCCTCAACCTGACGAAGGACTATCCAAGTTTCCGGTGCCACCACCGAGGAAGCCACCTCCAGCACCCTTGAAGTTGAAGCAAGAAATGAGGACGCAGCTGAGCCCATCTCCAGAGGATGGAGAGACTGAGTCCGATTTTGATGATATACTGGAAGTTGATGAAATTGTTCACGATCGACGGGGTCGGCGAAGAACCCGGGAAGAAGACGATCGAGACCGAGAGATTATTGCTTTCAAGGAGGCGGCTGCGCGCAGTGCATCTAAAAAGAGCAAGTCAAGCAAGTCCAGTCAACCTGGATCTCCGATTCAAATGCCCCAGGCCCCTGCGCCGGAGCTCGCTACAGCCTCACTCGGTGAAATGCTCAGCGCAACAAAGACAAGGGAAATCCCTGCGCCATTGCTAAGTCCCGGTCTCCCTGCAAGCCCTCGGCCTTCAAACTTCAGCTCGCCGCCTTTGTCCCCAAGGTCGATGAATTTTCAGGCTGCGCCATTGTCCCCACGACCACCTCGTCAACCAATTCCATTACCACCAAACACCCCTTTAGCAACTCCGGCCCCAACACCAGCTCGAGCAGCTGGCAAAAGCATCGTCTCTGAAGAAACTTCGGTATCGCAGAAAAGTCGCACTATACAGCAAGAACCCATCAGCCACCCTGACCAACCATCCATCAGAATGTCTAGCCCTAGCGAGCGTACAGAAGTCTTCAAAGGCCTGGTCACAGAGGAATATCCAGATCTTCTGCTCCCGCCCAATGCTCTGCCATCTATCAAGATTGCAGTTGCATCATCACGCATGAAACCATCTCGAGCAAGTATGATGTCTCTCACACAACTCGAAGAAGACCCAGTGTTTACTCTCGCTATCATCTCGCGATCGGACAATGGCGAGCTTTGGAGAGTGGAGAAAGACTTGGCTTCGTTGACAAAACTTGATCAAAGGCTCAAGCAATGTACATCCTACACAGTCAGAGCTCCAGAACGTTCGCTGTTCAGCGGTCATGCGCCGGCCAAGCTCGATGCCCGTAGGACGGTCCTGGAGCAGTTCATGGATGACATTTTAGATATTCCTTTTGACACGAAAACAGCTGTCGAACTTTGCAAATATTTGTCAACTCATGTTCTCCCACCAAATCTAGACGACTCGGTATCAGTTGGTGATTCGAGCTCTGAGATAAATGGCAACAAGATCGGGCCCGACGGGCGACCTTGTCGCAGTGGATATCTAACAAAGAAAGGCAAGAATTTCGGTGGCTGGAAAGCAAGGTATTTCGTTCTCAATGGGCCACTACTCAAGTACTTTGAAGTGCCTGGAGGTGCGCACTTGGGCACAATTAAGCTACAGGGGGCGCAGATTGGCAAGCAGAATCAGAATAACGACAACCAGTCACCAGCGCATGTAGCAAACGGTGATGACTTGGACAACCAATTTCGTCATGCTTTCCTCATCCTGGAACCGAAGAAGAAGGACACGAGCAGCCACTTCAGGCATGTTCTTTGTGCCGAAAGTGATAAGGAACGGGATCTCTGGGTGGATGCTCTTCTCCAATGGGTTGATTATCGTGATCCTGAAGATTCTGAACCTCCACCATCCCGGGGTGGGCCTGTCCAGGATCGCCAAACACAAGGTACAGCCACAGGCACAGAGCGTCCTTTGGCAGGCAAAGTGCGAAAACCCCCTGGGAAGCCATACCACCATCCCTCTGATTCGGATACATTGGTTGGCGTCCGATACGATTCCACTCAAGCAGGAGATGCCCCTCAAGTTTCAGGGCCTGCTCGACCCAAGACTTCAGGTGGCATGCCTGACCAACATCACAGCCATGGATTTGAGACCCTTTCCTCATCTCAGAGTAAGATCATTTCTGGACCCAAGGATCCACAGCCTATATCCGACTTGGGTGCTTGGGGAAACAAACCGAACTATGGCCCAACGCCTGATGAAAAGAAACAGAGGAAGCGAAGTTTCTTTGGGTTTGGACCTAAGACTAGGTCCTCATCAGAGGGTCAAGATTCCTTGTTTGGTGGTAGTGAGGTTGGTGCGAATGCAACCCCACCACAGAACTCTTATCAAGGTCCTGTGAGACAAGCCTTTGGAGCACCGCTGGCGGAAGCTGTTCGATTTTGTTCTCCTACAGATGTCAATGTACCGCTCCCTGCCGTCGTTTACAGATGCATCCAGTATTTGGATTCCAAGAATGCTGTGCTTGAGGAAGGAATCTTTCGACTCAGTGGATCCAACGTGGTTATTAAGCAACTTCGAGAACGGTTCAATGTCGAAGGGGATATCAATTTGTTGACTGACCGTCAATACTATGACATTCATGCTGTGGCCTCGCTACTGAAACTGTATTTGCGAGAACTACCAACAACAATACTGACAAGAGATCTGCACATGGAGTTCTTAACAACGATGGAGATCGTGGACCATGCCGAAAAGATGACTGCTTTGGGTGAGCTGGTTCACCGGCTCCCTCAAGCTAATGCCACCCTCCTCAAGTATCTGATTGGCTTCCTGATCAAGATTATCAACAATGCGGACATGAATAAGATGACTGTTCGCAACGTTGGCATTGTCTTTTCGCCAACCCTAAACATACCTGCACCAGTCTTTGCAATGTTCCTCCAAAATTACGAGGGAATCTTCGGTGTCGATCCTGAGGTTTATGAGCTTCCTTCACCTATTTCTGAACCCGAGTTGCAGCGCTTTGAAGCACCGCCGCGATTCGATCTACCTGCTCGCCCATCAACGTCTGGTAGCTCATCTCCTCACGGGCAGATGCGGAAGGATAATGTTCGAGAACTACAGCGATCTACTCCGACTCCTCCGCTTCTCGTCAACAATGCTCCAGTGCGAGCCTCGCCTCCTTCAAGTGCTACTAGGCCTGGTTACGAATCTCCAGCTGGTGCTTATGATATTGGGTACCGTCCACCTTCAGCCAACGAAGGACGCGGTGCCTACGACCGACGTTTCTTGCAAGCGTCACACGAGGATCTCGCCAGCGCCTCCGCAGCATACGATCAAAGCTTTGTACCCAGCAACAGACGCCGTGAGAGTGCCATCTTCATGGGTGGCATGATGGGTCCCCACCATCAGGGATCCAAGAGTCGCTTGCGAGAAGAAACGCGATTCTAAACTGTATACGTGCTTGGTTTTCCATGTGTTTTGCTATTGCTACATACCCACTCGTTTCAACATGCGATGATACCATACATACCATACCATATTATTTCATAACGACTTACACTATTAATACCTTGCATCTCGGAGTTTGATCAATGGCCAATTGAGGAGGAATACTGTTGTTTTGGATTGACTGACACTATGAGGAGATTGAGCGCTGTCACAAATTGCTCAAGAGAAGACCAGGGTTAGGGACATATGCTGATATAGCCCATGGAAACGTCAGTGAAGAACTTCAATGACTGTAATTGGAGTGAATGTCATTGATCTGACCTTGATGATGATGGGCGAGGCTGCTTTCTACTTAGCATGGCGTTGTGGATAGTTTTTTAGTCAAGAAGATCCCGACATAGTCCAGACCTGAAAGAATCGGCTTGTCATAGTTCTTCTTGTCTTGTGAGAAATACTCGAATTCATTCTCTGATTTTGTTGCCCAGCTGGCTGTTCGAAGGCGTTTTCAGCTTTTGCAACACACCCATTGCTGATGCACTGCTGATTCCAAGTCGAGGCCCAAGCGTGATCTTTGTCTCATCGCCTGAGAGCTATTATGCAGACGATGCTATGTTCTGATAGATGTGCTACCCACCTGGCTTGAGGGAGATTTTTCTAATCTTGTGACAACTAAGGATGGTCTTGGCAACTTCAACATTGATGGTCCTGAGACACTTCTAATATCAATTATGTCATGCCTCAGTATTTCTTTTGGGCCTTTTCCCTGTGAGTTCAATGGTTACCTAGTCAGCCCTCAGGGAGCAAGAAAATATCACACCTTAGGTGTTAAAATAAGCTTAGCAAAAGGTATACTAAACTTAATCCTAAACGTATACTGAATTTGTACTAAGCTAAGGTAGCTAGGCCTTTTTGCCATTCAGGATCGACGTCCTGGGTTTTCTTTCCTTCCCTAGCCAGCCAGGCTATTCAATCGCAGACCTTCTTCATAAATATAAGTCATGAGGTGCAAGGCCAAACAGCGACATGTGTGTGGTCAAGGCTATCCCGCCTCTATTGCATCTTGACAATATACTCGCCTACAAAAGGCATGATGAAGTCCTTCTTTCCCAAAGGCACACCCTCCTTCCTCAGAATAGCATAAGCCATTGACAGGTGGAAGTTGATATTAGGGACAGCAGCTCCCATGGCAAATGCTTTCCCGGGCAGATCCATTGTCCCCGCCGATGGCAACGCTGTCGGGGCAATCTCCTCTCCCTGCTGATTCACAATGTCTTTATCAGCCTTCCCGAGCAACTCTTGGGCCTTTTGAATACGCGAGTGCATATCCTGAAATGTGACGAGTTTGTCTTCAAACTCGACAGACTCCCTTCCAGAAAGCCGGGCGACTAATTTCTCAGCGAATCGAGTAGCTGCATGGACCTGGAAGCTCAACGGGTTCATGTCTTCATGGAGTCGCGCATCTGGGAAGCTGGCTGCATTGCTATGCTTCTCCGCTTCAGTGAGAATATGATCCAGTGATGCCAGAGCCAGTTTGGCCTCGACGATAGTCGCATCGTAAAGCGTGAAAGTCATGATAAAAGCCGTAGAACAAGAGGATTGATATTTGAGAGATATGAGTCAAGGACAAGCAAACTGCGAAAGGGGAAGGGGAAACGAATGAGGGTCTGCAAAAACAAAAACAGGTATAAATGCCTCGCTCTTCCTTTCTAGGATTTACGGTGAATTGTTAATCCAATAGACAGGCAGTGGGCCAGCAAGCAAGTGGATTGCCTGCCTGCCTACCTACCTTATATAGAGCACTAGGGGTTATCCAATTCATGGTCCTATGCTGGTAGGACCTTGGATAAGGTATTTCTTGTGGCTCCTTTTTGTGTATTTTGGGATTTATCGAAAAGTCTAGTTCAAGTCATGTAATATATACGCAACCATTGCGATAGAGGAGCGAGCCCAATTGAGGCCAGATCGTTGTAACCTTCATATAAAAATTGATGTAGTTGAAGGGAATATAATGAAAGCAATCACACCGATGGCCCGGAGATATGGACAAGATGCTCCGACTTTTGCTGACTCATTCACAAACACTTCTCGGAAGCGTCGGAGTCGGCGATAACCTTCGCCGTCCTCATCCATCGCATCATCAAGACCGGCCTACAAAAGTAAGAAGCTCCGATGGAGCTCGATCCTCGTCTTGGCGCAACTGGCGATAGAGCCTCAGGATTAGCAAATTTCGGCGCGGAAGCAACGTCAAGACCATCACCGGTCCATCACGTCCCTCATAGCAATAGTGCTCTGATATCAGTCCATGGCGCACAGGATGATCACAACAGTGCCGAAAACACCCCCAGCGCATCGACCGAAAATCGAGATACGCCGCAACATCAAAACCAGCAGCTTCACGATGCCGAACACGACGTAGATGGAACCGATCCGAAGCGACCAAGGGCCTGTGAGGCATGTCGTGGGCTGAAGGTTCGCTGCGAACCGGATCCCAATGACGAGGGACCTTGTAAGAGGTGCCGGAAAGCTGGAAGGAATTGCGTTGTGACAATGCCAACGCGAAAGCGCCAGAAGAAGACGGACAGCAGAGTGGCTGAGCTGGAAAAGAAAATCGATGCCTTGACAGCGAGCTTACAAGCAAGAGCGGCACCTGGAGGAGGCCAGGCGCATACGCAAAACCAAGGTCACGGCTGGGGAGAGTCTCCTGGAAATGTTGCGCCTAAACCACCCAACGAATCAAACACAGCCACTTCTTCTCACAATAACATGAAATGGCGAACCCCCGGGCAAACCCCTGCATGGGGATCGTTTTCATCGGCACAATCTCCCATGCCGTCGATGCCGACCGTGGAACAAACAACGGGCCGCGCATCCCCAGCCCAGTCCACAGCAGCACTAGCTACAGCAGCCACTGGGCAAAAGAGGAAGTTTACAGATGGCCGTGAAGGCTCATCTGAACAGCTTGCTACTGAGGAATCACCAGCCGAAGCTCTGGCGGCTTATCTCACAAGGGCAAAGGGTGGTGATATCGTAGACCGTGGTGTTATCACGATGGAGAAAGCTGTTGAGCTATTTGCTCGTTACAATGACCATATGATTTCACACCTGCCGGCTATTATCTTCCAACCTGGTTTCACGGCATCCGAGCTCAGAAAAACAAAACCTATACTGTTTCTAGCCATCATGGCAGTGGCCTCTGCTGAGTCCCCCACTCTCCAGAAGGTGCTTCAAAAAGAGATGAAGCTCACATTCGCCGAAAAGGTGATGCTTTCGGGCGAGAAAGGCTTAGAGCTAGTGCAAGCACTCAATGTAGCCGTGATCTGGTATTGGCCACCAGAACATTTTGAGGAGCTGAAGTTTTATCAGTTAGTCCACACGGCCGCTGTTATGGCCATCGATATTGGACTCGGCCAGAAATTGAAGCAGCGCCGTGGAATAGTCGTGCCTGATACCTGGCGTCCTAACCCAAGTACCGGACCAGGTGGCCAGAGCCGTCGATGGGCACCCCCTGATCCAACAAGCATAGAGAGTCGCCGTACATGGCTGACATGCTATTTCCTGGCAACCAACACTTCTATGGCCCTCCATCGACCGAATCTCATCCGATGGACCCCCTTCATGGAAGAGAGCCTTCATCTTTTGCAGTCGTCGCCAAACGCTGCGCCAACGGATGCTTACTTCTGCCATCTGGTCTGGACACATCACCTTTCCGAGCAAGTTAATGTGCAGTTCTCTCTCGATGACCCGACATTTGACGTCCATATCTCAGAAACGAGAACACAGCATATCCTCAAAGGCCTCGAAAAGGACCTGAAACGGTACAGAGAGAAGGTCCCCCCTGAGTTGCTACAACGTATGTACTTAGTAAACCAACAGCTGGAATCGTTCACTGACCAAATTAGCAACGCTTCTGATAAGTTTCGGCGTCCTCAATTTGTACATGCATGAGGTGGCGTTGCAGGCTCGTACAAGCGAACCTCTGCGACCTCCATTCTCAACAAGCTCTCTCCAGGAAGGGCTTGTAGGGGGGGATAGACTATCCCCAGCACATATCAGTGCTATATCCGTATGCCTCGGTTCTATCAAAGAAATGCTTGGCACATTTCTAGCCATGGACGTTTTCAGCATACGCTGCTTACCTGTGTTCAACTTTGTCCGGGTCGCATATGCCGTCGTTATGCTCATCAAGCTCTACTTCTCGGCCTCAGCCGCAGGCTCAGAGCTAGGCCGCGTTATTGATAAGGAAGATATGCAAGTCGGAAAATATCTTGATAACCTGCTTGACAAATTCCGCGCAACTGCAGCGGAGGATCGTTGTCGCCCAGCAGCCAAGTTCCTTGTGGTACTCGTTATGCTTCGTAGCTGGTTTTATAGACAAGCTGAGTCGGAAGCCAAAGAATCGAAGCCACTTCCAACAGCTTCCGCGATAACACCATCTCCTTCGCAGGCACAACAGCAGCCTCCCCTACCTGCCAACGTTTCGGCACCACAACCTTCTGACCACGCATCTACGGCCAACACTCCACTCCAACTCCTTTCAGAAGTTGCTACCGGAGCAGGCTCCCGAAACCGTGACTCTTCAGCTAGCAGGCCTTCGATGGTTGGATGGGGCTCAAACATGCCGCAGCCTCCGCAGCCCTTCTTCCATGACACCCCCGATAACAATTCAAGCTCTACCGCCTCCATGCCCTACCACAACGAGCCATTTCCCGCAGATTTGGCTGCCGCAATGGCGCCCGCAATGCCATCACTACCCCCCACCGCGGATGGGATGGGCGGCTATAACTCTGGAGATCTTCTTGACTTTGCAGGCTGGGATCTGGAAGGCATGGGCATGGGCATGGGATCGCAGGGGATGTGGGAAGATGGGATGCGTATTTTCCTCGAGGAGCCCTGGTTTAACACCATGTTCCAAGGCAACCCACCAGTTGGCAACAACGCCATGAACTTCTGATACCCTCCCATAAGCCACCCCCGCTAACAAAAATAGATATTGGTGGCTTATCTTTCACGTTGTCAATTCAGACTTTGACTGTATATGTAAGCAGCCACGTCAGACTCGGTTTTCTGCACCAGTACTCCTCATGGAACAAAAAGAAAACGCCTGAGCTGAAGGCTAGGCATCAAAATCAACCAGCCTAAGATCAGCTGAACCTACACTAAACTTGCCTTAATCTTTTTGTCACTCATGATAGACGTCTGGAGTTTTCTTGCCTCACTCAAGTACTCAATCGAAATGCCCGGATGTTTGTGTCTCGAACAGTCGGCTCACGGAACGCACCCCCCGGTATGCATGTGGGCTGCAGCTTCAGATGTATGTTTTTTTAGGTGCATTGGCGCCAGTATAGATTTGCATGTACTCGAAGCGGTGTGAGCGTTACTTGTCGGTTGTCTGTGAGAAGAGCGAATTTACTGAAACATTATTCACATGCTTTTTAGCTGGGAGTCTGGGCTATGTATTGATTAGATTATGGATCATCAATCGCAAACTTCTAATAAAGCCGGAGACATAAGTTCTACTAGATGGAGGATTTCGATGCATGTATTTGACCGTATGACCTTCTACGAAATCTTGTATCTACATGATCTTGCGGTTTAACAAGCTTGCTCAAGTCACCAATCCTTCGGAAGGACGGTCTGATGATAAGACCAGTTCCATTCATTCTAGCTGTGGTCTATCACACCATTGGCACTGAACGCCCCGGCTATCATTTGCTTCCAGTTCCATGATCCCATTCTCTTAGGTCCCGGCTCATGGCGGTAAAAGAATCACCGTGTCCCTCGATGTTCCTATGCTCGAAAGGGTCGATAGTCCCTATCCTCTTCGCGCACCATTTCCACCAGGTTCCTACTTACAAATATTGGCAATCCTGTACTCATAAAACGAAGCCATTAACGCCAACAACTGATCAAGTTCAAATATTCCCTATGCTCGCTCTTGTCGTGATTTATAATTCGAAGTTTCCCCTCCCACCGTCCTTCAATGCCTTGTTTCAAGATAACCTGTTACCGCTCCTTTGTACGCCTTTGAGTGTTTGATACAGCTTTGCATGTTTTGTGACCAGTTTCGCATTTTCCATAGATCCCGCTAGAAAAGTTCATTGCAAAACACCAAAAGTATAAATCAAATTAAAAGCCATGTTTTCAGCAACAGATCTCCTTCAAGGGATAATTGCTGAAAACGGCAAATCATGTCAGGAACAAAATTGCGCAATGCAGCTGGAATTTAGAAGGAAGCATACGGCTATTAGGAGCGCCGGACAACTGTGGCAAGGTGGGCGAATCGTCATTGTTGGTTTCATCATCGTCGTCGTTATCATCTTTTGAGTGAACATGTATCTGAGGTGTGGATGCTTTCAGTCCATGTAGAAATCACCCTTCAAAATTCTCTCCTGAAAGGCATCAGGCTTTGGTCTTTCAGGCTGTCTCGGCGGCTGCTTGACAGAAGAAGCCTGGGCAGGAGGCTGCGGCATCTCAGAAACAGATTTCGCGCGGTCGTGAATGGAGCCCCGGGGTGGGGAGGAGGAGGCGAGCGAGAAGGAAGCCCGAGGAGCACCGATGACGGAACTCTCGGCACGAGATCTAAGCTGCTCGGACCAGTTGAAACCCTGCTGGTCTGGGCGCGAAATATAATTGTCAGATGTGGCTCTTGGATTTTTGGTGTTGCTTGCCTGTGTGACAGAAGAAGCGAGGCTGGGGCGACGTCCAGCAGACAAAGCTGCCGCAAGGCTGGACCCTTGGCTGGGGGAGCCAACAAGCGACGCCTTCCGACCACTTGGGACGGGGCGCCCGTTTTGAGAAGTAGGAGGAGAGGATGGGCTATTACCATTGCCAGGGCTTCCATTTGGGCGAATGTTGCGCATGTTCGAAGTGCCAAAGCTCATTCGTCGAACGAATGGTGTTGTGGGTGCAGTCTTGGAGTACATGTCGTCATCTTCAATGGCACTCTCATCAATAGAATCCGAGTTGTTGGAGTTTGTCGACATGCTGCCTCGACGAATGAAAGAGGTGTTTGTGGGCGAAGTGCCCGATAGACCAAGTGTGGTCACGGAGAGACGTCGACGACTAGTGTCGACTGGACCCGAGGACTGATTTGGAAAGCCGTTGCTGTTGGGAACCGAGTTGCCTCTTTGAAAGAGATTGGTCAATGCAGCCTGGGTGATAGATCCTCGTCTGTTGCGTGTGTACATTTCGGCGTTGGTGTTATTGTTGGGGGGTACTGTGTCTGTAGACATGATGGGCGACTAAAAACGACAGCAATCGCCGATAGTTATAGCTTTGAAGATGTTGTGATATGGGGAGATATGCGAGGTAATGGCGCCAGAGTGGTTCGAGAATGGCAGCAACAGCGTTTCACGTGAATTTGATGGTGGGATGGTGTTTAGAGAATTGTGGGCTGCCGAGAGCGTTTTCTAAGAGGCGAACAATCCTAAAAATGAGAACAAAGAAGTCGCGATAGGTCGAGTAAAGGGGGGAAGAAAGAGAAGAAGAAAGAGTTTAGAAAACCGAGATGGGAACGGGGGGAACCGAGGGTTGATAAGGCGGGACAGTGATGGGTTGGTGAAGAGGACGAAATGGGGTCAAATCAACTCTAAAACAGGGGAGAAGAGACAGCTGGTTAGCGATGAGAGATCGCCGTTGCCGGTTTGGGTAAAAGGCAACCTTTAGGTCAACGTTGGAGGGGAAATCGGCAGTCAGCGGCAACTTGAGAATCGAGCGAGACCGGCGCAGCATCCATGCCCAAGGTATCAGCATCAATCAGTGTTAGTCTACCTACTAACCCAGGCCAGAATGAAATCGAGAGTCGTCCGTCAGTGAAGAGTCAAGACCAGGATCTGAGGCGGACGGTAGGATTCAAGAATCGACCAGGGGGCCTTTGGTTCGTGGACCACTTTGGTAGGCAGGCTAGCAGGTAGGCATGTATGTATGTACGTATGTATGTATATATGTATGCTCGTTTGTCGAGCTGACGCCGGTACATGCAGTCGCGGCTAGCTTCAAGGTTGTTCTGTGATGGGGGGGTTTCAGTGACGGATGAGACCTCTACTAGAAAAGATGGGGCAAAATGAAGGGAAATGGATGCAGCGCGTAGATTGAGCCCGGGGGTCGAGTGACGTAGTCGCTGCAGAGTGGAGTTTCCTGCCGGAATCGGGATCAGGGTTGGTCAAGCTGTTCAAGGATGCCTAGGGCAAATCTGCGTCGTGGGGCACTAGGTACCTAACCAGCACTGTACAAATGCTCAAAGGGTTCATCGTGGAGGGTGTCCTCTCCCGAAAGAAATGGAGAATGCCCTGGGGTTGAACCCTTGTCTCTTGTCGCTTACCCAGTTCTGGATCTGAACTTCTGAACATGATTATTTCGGTCTGGGGTATCTGCCCGGTCACTAATCTTGATACCTATGGTCTCTTGGGCTCCCACGTAGCTGTTAGTTGGACTCGAACTTCGTACCTCGGAGATCTCGTTTGTGTAACAGTCGGTTGGATAGGCGGTTCTCTTTTCATCTATCACTGCTGATAGACTGCCGAAGCTCATATCGGCAAGATCTGATTGCCTCAGAAGTAGAACATAGCGTACCCAAGCGGACTGGTGTTGAGAGGATGTTGGTGGATTTTCTTGGCTATAGAACCGAGGAATGATGATCTATCCTTGTGCAATATTTCGTTGAGGGCGGATGCGTTGAGGTACATCGTAGTTTTTCAGTCAACAATCTAAGGGACCTGTGAGGCAGAGTACCTCCTCGATCGCCCATCCCGGTTCAACATTCTCGTCTATTGATGATCCATGTCAGACATTTCATTTCCAAGAAGAACGCTGCGATGTCAGAAGCTCTCTCGGGGCTGGATCAAGCGTTTTGAGCTGTCAGGGCACGTCCTAATAGGGCAATGAAGCAGAATTGGAAGGGGGGACACCACCGGTAGGTTTAACCGCTCTTCTTGATGTAGCCGACGAACTTCGTAGCTTGAGCCGTAGTAGTGTAGGCATTAGCAGTTTCACAGTTGTGTGTTTGCCTATTTTCAGATTGAGGGCAAGTGAAAGGTACATGGCATTCACGAACGTCTCTTATTGTCCAGTCAAGATGACTCACAAAGAGGAAGCAATACCTTATCTCCCTTTATATCATCATGCTTTGATAGGTAAGTAGTTAACTATAGGTACAATTATCGCAGGTACTGTCTCTCTGGGTTTGATACTTTCCCCTCGGTTGACGAGCGGAAACAACCTTTCCCTGCTCTCCTCTACTTACCTCGCGTAGAAAACACCTGACACCTGGCCCTTTTCTCCTTTTCCCATCAACATCTATCTATGAACACGCCAACTCTTATACATGCCCATTTTCTTCCGGTGGCCGGACAACATGACCAAATTCCATATTGGGCTTCGACCTCTTGCATGTAGTTTTTACCTCTTATAGCAGGCCCTGGGTAATGCGCCCCACTGGTCCCTGTTCCCCACGGCATCTGCGGCTTCACACAGACCATTGTTAGCGCCGTTTGGTTGACTGCGGAGAAAACGGGTGCAAAGGGACCGCCCCAGTAAGCCAATCTTATCTCGAAAAAGGCGCCTCGTAGGGCACCTTAGAACATCCGCAACGGAAAGCGATCCCAGCGCATCCCGTCTACGTCACAAATGGATACGTACTGTGGAATGCTTGCCATTTTGCGGGGTAGGTAGTTCTCTGTAACAAAAAGGCAACAACCAACTGAGACAAACTTTCAAGCATTTTATCGCAGGGATTGCGACTCTGCCTCACAGGCACAGTTCAACAGCGGCAACAGAGATGGAGATGTGACGATTCTGGAGGAAGATCATCAGAGGTTTCTCTCGGTCTCACACTTTCGCGCCAGCTTATCTCGAACTTCCTGCTACAGCACGAAGCACCGACAGACGACCGAGCCAACGAGAACTTGTGATAGGTCGCCCACCAACTACCAACTGTGTGCCTCATTATGTGCCAAACTGAGCATGGTGTCCAGAAATATAATGACAGTCCAGCAAGCGAAACTCTTGGGCGTTGCTAGCCTCTTTGTCATCAGACAAGCCCATATGCTTACTGCTAGCACAGCAACGCCATCAGTAAACAGTTTGGTGGGAGGGGGGATCGAATGCGATGATAAGATACCGACGACGTAACTGTAATGTGCATACGAAACACCGTAATCTTCATTAGCTTAGCTTTGGTGCTGAAAAGGCCCCCCGCCCAGAACTCTTGAACATGTTGACAGTTTGACTCGACCTCATGTCCAATCCAATTTCAGCTGTTGGCAGCCCATCACACCTCAGTTTCCCCCCTGACATGACTCTTGTCAAAACCTTGCATCACACACGGCCTGGTCCATGCTTTTAGCGTCGAGCATCTTAGATCAAGTGATGCTCCTGTCTGGTGTTATCTCAAGCTTCAACAGCGATCAGCATCGCTCGGGGATTTGGGCGCTATGAAGCGATGGCACACGGTGGGCAGCAGAGTCGTCATCACCATGCCATATCCATATTCCGGCATCTGTTAGCAATGCTTGCAGCAACCTTTTCATCTCGTTTGCGTTTTGGGACTCCATGTTGGCAGGTATGCCTGTCGCTGTTCAAAGTACAGCCCATCGTGTTACTTTTTAAAGACATTCCACATGTTTGTGTCTACGTGACATCTTTTCTTTTCTTTTCTTTTCTTTTCTTTTTTTAATGCTTTCATGGTTATTGCTTCCACATGGGAATCCATAAACGGACGGCGACTGTTAGCCTTTGGACTTCCCCAAATGCCACGTTATTCAGGAGGTCTGAACTCCGACTAAACACGCACGGTTAAGTTCACTACCTGGAAGCTAAAAACAGTGTAACGGGGCCCTGATCCGCTGTTTAATGTCTAAAGCAAACCTCCAGATAGCCAATCATCAACCGGGAATACTACCCCGCGTCCACCCACATGCTCCCGAGACCGGCTCACGGCATCCTCGGCCGCTGAGGTGCATTGGTGTCCTTGGCTTTGGCTTTGACTTCGACAGCCTGTCTGTCTTTTTGAGCTTTTGATCATGATTCCTCAACCCCTTTACACCCTCTTTGGTGTCTTATGTTCTCGATGCAACTCACCCAACACTACCTGGCCAGTGTCGAGTGTCACCACGCCTTGTCTCTTGATTAATGACGATTAGTTGGCCTATACTCGTTGAGGGATGACCTGTTGCTTCTGGTATTCACCGTCTGGGGTGGCAGTTTTGTGGACTTGTTGAATTGATAGCAGCCATCTATAGACAAAAATTTCATGTATGGAATCGCATTGTCTGGATTCCAAGACCAGGAATCGGAGGGATGAGGTTGGGTCTTGGCCATCACACCACCAAGAGATTGGCGAACTTGGTGGCGGCCATAGCCACCTGTGGGTGCATAGATAGCGTCAAAGAGGGGATGCAAAGCTAGGAAGTTATCCACGATGGCACAGCTTGCAGCCCACAGCCGAACAATGGGTTTGCTGCACTGTAATACACACTAGCTCAATGGTAGGTCTGTCCCTGATGGTGGGTGGGGGACAACATCATCAGCGTCAAGCCCACCCGTGTTCTTGAAGGTCTGGACCTTGGTGAGCGTGTCGATCTGATTCGAGCCATCCAATGGATATCCTCGCCAGAAAACACTACATAACAGAATGATTATATGCTTCACTTACTGGAATCTGCTGTTCCCTCACCCATCTCCTGTCTCATCCCCATTCCTCACTCTTTTCCCACCTTTAATCGAAATCCCCTCCTCTTTGTCTCCTGTCTTTGAAGCATACGGCTCAACCTTTTGTCTTGCATATCGTATTTGTGTCTATTCTTCTAATCTTCCCATTATTTTCTACTCGTCTTCAGTACTCTCCGCTCTGTTGTTATTCACCGCCGTTGTTTCCACTCCCACCTTATCTTAACTTGTTCCCCACGCTCCGTGCATTTCTTTCGTCCTTCTTCTCACCTTGTCTTCGGCCCTCCCTCGCCTATTACTCGCATCGAATATGACCTGAACTCCGCCGCCGGTCAATCGGCCCGCTCCCCATCAGCAATGCACCTCCTCCTTTTGTTCCCTTGACAGCATGAATGGTTCTCGATTTGCAGTCGACCGCCGCTCTTTCGTAGAAACACCACTCCTATGCAACTCATTCCAGCACCATCGTTCGCATTTGTAACTCTTCAGCCATTTTACAACTCATCACGGAGAAGCTCATGAAAGAAAACAACTATGTAAGTGGGCTGTCACTAACCGATGTAGACCCTCCCGTTACCTCAAGCCTGTGACGCAGCCCTTGGTCATCTCCAGGGCATGAGAAGCACGATATTCCTGCCGAAACTTGCATGATATGATGAAGAAAAAAAGGTCAAACTGGTATGACTTTCAGGGTGTTGCTGTAGGGTGACAGCACTCACAAACTGTAGATCGTCTCGGAACGAGCTACACGTAGCAACATACTACCCTACATGGAGTTGGAGAATATATGGAGGGGAGGATTTTTGTTTGCAGGTCAGGTTCAACATGGAGGTTAGCCTTTTGTAAATAGGGACTCCGCTGATCCCTCATGAAAGCGAATCCTGTGTAGTCATCAAGGCTCCAAGACAAGCAATGAGAAGATCTTTCCAAGCCAGTGCTCTCACTCGATGAACTGCAATGCAACCAACTTGATGCACCAGAATTCAACAAAATGATAAGAGTCACAACTATAAGTGCTATAGAGTGGAAATAGATTCATTTTTGAAAAAATGCGTGATAATGATATTTTTATTGGGATCATCTTTCATAGCATATAGTTAAGCATATAAACATCATTGCATGTCTATGATATCAATCTTGAGATTAGCATAATGTATAAGTGGAATATCTAACATTTGACTGTAGTCCTTGGTATATTTGAAGGCCGATAGATGTCTGAAGCTTTCTGTTTGTCACTTGCTGTTGGTGCTTCATGAAAGACAGACTTGCCCAGTTCCTGTTCTTCACACAAGAGACTCGATGCTCATACCATGTCTGATTCCAGAACGTCGATGCTCTAATATCGTGCAATACATGTCTCTGAATGCGATCTGCTTTAACATTATCATTATCGCCAATAAGGACTTTAGTCTACTATAGTGCTGCGGCATTACTACATAAATCATTCGGTGCATTTGCATCTCAGTATCGCTAAAAGGAGAAGCCATGCCTACTACTCAATATTTCTGTCGTCAAACAGAATCTTTCTTCCTAATAAGAAGGGCTTGGTTCACTGCGATTTTACGCAGCCTCTGCTCTTCTTTGACCACACAACCCACAAACCCCACAATCGCCAGCATTGCGATACTGTGTAGTTTTACACGCGTCGCTTGAACACTGCCACGAGTCTGTTGTTGAGGCGTCCAATACATTGGCACACATTGCACATGTAAGTGCTAAATTAGGATTGTCGTAAGAGCACATGGAGCAAGTTCCGCCAGAGCGTGCCTGTTTGCTTGTCGAGTCGGCTGGCTGAGCTGAACCCTGGGGGGGCGAAACCGGGGGCCCTTTGGTGGCTTTTGCATTGTTTGTTGATGTCGTTGGCATCTCAGGCTGCTTAGATCCTCTTGTGGGTTCTACCTTGGTAGCCCTAGCAAGTGCCGCTATTGGCGGTGACTGGTTGTTGAGAACTTGAGGCTTAGGTTCTTGAGATGGTTCTGTAACTTGTGACTCAGGGGACTCCCTCTTGATGCCCCTAATCATTCTTAGAAGTTCCCGACTCTCATCTCTAGCCCCAGGATCATCTCTATCCTCATCTTTACAGACTTTGACCATGCCGCAGCCTTGTCCATCAAGTAGTCTCTTACCATTCACATCGACAGCATCCTTAGAATCTTCTCCAGGCTCGTACTCAAATTCGCTGCCGCTCCCGGAATCTGTCTCGTCATTATCTTTGATGGTCTCAGGCTCTGTATTTTGCTTTTCGAAGCGAGCGAGTGCCGCCGCCGCCCGAAGCTCGCGTCCTCTCATGCTTCCCGCAACCCGGGGTTTTGCTTGAAGCTTCCTGCCACTCTCTAACTTGACCTTTTCTTCTTCATCGGCACCGAGAGCGACCCCATTCTTGCCAAACTTCTTCAAGATTCGTCTTTCCTTTCGTTCCTGGTAGGACAGTTGCGGCTTGGCCCGTCTCTTGCGACGTGATCTGTAAGTACCTCCGCAGAGATGCTCTGGTAGAACCTCATCAGCAAGCACGCTATTCTTTTCCCATTCACCAGTGGCAAGGTTGGCACCCCTTCCCCATAGACCGTCTCCGGTATAGTTTTTGGACCAAAGCTCGTGCATTCGAGAAGCGTACACGTTTCGAACGGTCCAGAATGCTCTTGAATGATTCATTTGCTTGCAATGTGCCAGCTCATGCATCATGACCATCTGCACATATTTGAAGGGTAGCCAGCGGCCAGTGCTGGGCGACTTGAGAACGAGTTGCACGACTTCGCCTGCATTAAAATTCCGTCCAACGAATTCACGATTTGGCTCGTACTCCTCTAGCGAAGTAACGTACAGATGGTTTTCTCGCATAATGGGACCTGATAAGGACAAGTATCAATACCGTACAATTTCTCAAGGAAACCAGTTAACTCACGGCATTGTGCTGCTATTCTCTCAAGAAAGTCCTGGGCTATCTGTTTGTCTGGACCATCTAAGGGCTTGATGAAGACAACATTGGGATTCGGTTGTGATTTCTTTTCATTCAGCCGCTGGTACCCAGCAACCATGTTGCTTCAAAGTCAAGGGTAATGTTTACAGATAGGTATGAGCACGTATTTCAGTTCTGGGCCGTTCTGGTAACCCAAAACTGAAAGTGAATGACACAGGGAATCCGCAACTGAAAGACGCGTAGAGTACCTTAAAAATACTCACGCGGCGCCACGTGACTAGCACGACATCCTCGACCACTCTAGGTATCTAGGAAGAAAAAGACTTAGCACCTCGATCCTAAATAACAGAAAGATTTAGGTAGCTTATGATAAATTTAGGATAGATTTATAGTAGATTTAGGATACCTTTTACTAAGTTTATTTCAATATCTTATATCGAAGCCTGATGTTTTCTTGCTCCTTGAGGCCACTCAAACAATCAGCGAATTATCTTTGTCTTGCATAGCAACAGGGTTCCGGATTTCATTATAATTTGAAGAATCTTGCGATAAGGAAGCTTCCAAGTATTTATAGCTCAACCTCCGCCGTTCCCTTCTTTTCGTGCTCGGTACTGTGTGCACTATCCGCTCGCTCATGCTTGCCGCATTCCTGGCCTGAAAGCTCATCATCTCCTTCAATAGAGGTTCAGGCTTCAGGACCAGGTTCCGTGACGTCCATCCATTTGAGTATCCCCAATGCAGAGGCAGAATTGCTCAGTATTGGGTTCCATCCGTGAAAGGGACTGTAAAAGCGGCTGACGATCCATTCCGCTCTCTTAGGTAATGCCGGTTCCCAGGGTACTTGCTCTCCATTAGCGTCAACACTTTGGTCGCCATAGAAGGTATCTATAGCTGTAAGTGCTGCATCTATGGTCTTTCTGGTCATAGTATTATGGCTCCCTTGATTATCTGGAGAATCTGCAGCAACTTTAAAGTACTGTCGAATCGCGCCGTTGAGCTCAAGCCAAAGCTGATAGCCTGGATCACCTTCCTATGGACGGCACACTCCTGCAACAAAATCCTCTGGGTTGTTTGCGACATTTCTGCACCAGAACTCTTCATCCAAAGCATGAAAGGCGTCGTCGATGGTCCAATTCTTTGCGCGGGTTATGGCTTTGCGGCCATAATGTTTCACTGGCCTAGACATGTCATTTGCCGGTCAGTTGCACGATCTTCGCTGTGAGCTTTTCCGCTGATAATAGAGTCGGCGATGGACGATTAGACACTGCTTTCGGAGTCAGAGCTTTCTTAGGGAGTGTCACTGTCTGACTCTTCAGCCCGCTGGAGTGCCGCGCGTTTTTGCATCTTGTCGACTTTATTACTTCCCATAGAATCTGATCAAAGCTTAATCCGAAGTCTTCTTGGACTCTTATCTTGTCCAACGCCGACCACCCAGCTACCTTATCTTGGCAATTGTCGGAAGCTTGACGTGCGAGGCGTCACTTCTCAGGGACATGCGCTTCTTGTACAGAATGGACTGGGGAGTTCTGCCAGGGTTATGTCAGTAGAGGATATACTAGAATGGAAAAAGTAAGTGTGATACCTCACCGGAAGGCGCTCTATCGCGTGTGTAGTCGACGATGGAAAGTGAGGATTGAAAGCCTTGGCCGGATGGTTGGTCAATCTAAGTTTGAAGAAAGGAGAGACCGGTGAGCGGTACTCGATCTATAACCGATAGCCGCGTTGCCTTTTGGCAGTCCAAGGCAGTTGGTAGCTTCAAAGCAGACATAACAAAAGGAAGAGAAAGTTGAAAGCTGGGATGGTCGCGAAAGGGGGTTTATATCTCGGCAAGCCGAATTATGATGGCCTGAAAACTCAAAAAGAAAAATCAGGAAAAAAGAAGAGGAAGAATACTAGTAAATCATAAAGTAGTTCCATATGTGATGGCCCGGATAACTGGCATAAGGTTGGATCAAGCCAAGAGCTCTTTGGAGGCTCGAAAACAGTTGGTGAAGATTAAGTGGCCCGTGAGAACCCTCACAAATAGACATCTATATAGGTCCTTGGGCATCCCAAGGAGAATTGTCTATATGACTATGCGGAAGTTCTGAAAAGGTCGGGATTCATCAGGAATAAGGGTCTTTCCTACTGCCGGATATAACTGAAGCACTCTTTATTTACGAACCGATCGTAGGCCGGAAACGGTCTTTCTGCCCCCAGTGACTTCTTGCTCCTGTCTTTTCATGGCCAAAGCCATAGAGTATCAGTTAATGGCAAGACCAGGAAGGTTCTCGGAGTATTCCACGATAATTCCGTGATGGCAGGCCCCTTAAGGATTTAGGCCGAACCGCCCAGCTGGAAAGACATGGCTAGGGCGTGTACTTGATCCTATGTAAACGGACGGGCCATGTGGGCATGGAGGTTGACACGGCCGAGTGGGAAAGGCATAACCAGGATGGCTAATGCTTATCCCTACAAAGACCCTTAGTCACGCTGTCAAGATCCTACCAAAGATCAATTGATATCATTTGCAAGGGAGATGCTGAACTTCCGTAGAAGTCAAGGGGTAATTCATCATTTCAAAGACTCTTCGCTACGTTTCGGGCCGGTAGAGCACAATCAACGTACAAGGGTAGCTGTGCAACGTGCCGTGACATCGGAAATCTTATTAGTCTGGCTCTGGTGGCACTTTGGGACTCTGCTAGAGCACTTTCAAGCAAAAAGCAACCCTTTCGTCGTATGCAGTTGCTTTTTGTTGATAACGAAAAGCACAACAAGTCTGCCACCGCCTCGGGACCATTGAAGATTTTTGATAACCCTCGCGCTTAAACTGCTCCTAGCTTCAAAGAAACTTGATGTGGACATTTGACTCCGAACAGATTGATGAAGATTGGGCACCTGAGCTCTGGTGATGGCCTTAGCTATTGAAAAGGCAAGGGGAGATAAAGAATTTAGGACCTAAAGTAATAAAAAGACTTAGGTAAGTTTAGTATATGTTAGAAGTACTTAGACCAGTTTATTCTGGCACCCTAATTTAATATAAGAAAGTTTTATTCCCCCCCCTAAGGAGAGGCCATAAGAAATGTACACCTACCGCAAAGTACCGAGGTAATTAGGTATAAAACCAAATTGAGCAAACTAACTAGTCTTAATACAATCGTCGAGTGTGCATATTAGCTTTAAAGCGTATATCTAAGTATCTTTAAAATTCAATACCTTTTAATATTGATTACCTCTTAAGTAATAAAGCTTCTGTTGAGTTGACTGACTGGAGGGATTGGGGATAACGAACAGGAACCTGAATCATATCAAGTCTCTCCGTAAACCCAAGGCGTGGTTGCGTCCCAGTTTGCCATCGTTTTACGATTCGAGGTTCGTTTCCGCATCTTTTTGGGTTTCCAGAATCAGGTACAAGGGATCGTGCAGACGTAGTTAGCTTGCCAATTTTGGAGAACAAAAAGAATAGAGGACATTGATTGAGTTTTAGGCTCTATTTTACATGTGACGATGCTACAGGAGAATCTCCCTGATCTCATTCCCGTCGCTCCATTCTGGAGCGACCTCTCGACATGTTCTCTCCGCCTCAAGAGAGAAAAGCGACAACAAATATTCGGTATAGACAGCGACATCCCCAAAGGCCCCCGTTATTCTCCGCGTAAGTTGCTTTTGATTATATTTAACCGAGGAAGCTCTTGACGAAGGACTGGGTGACGTCACGGAGCTTGGCCTCGGTGTCCTTGGAGATAGAACCCTCCTTATCAATGGTGGCAAGGAGCTCAGACTCGTTGGTCTTGAGGTGAGCAAGGAAGTCAGACTCCCACTGGAGAATCTTGTTGACGGGGACGGTGTCGAGGAGACCGTTGACACCAGCGAAGATGAGAGGAACCATCTCGTTAACAGCCCTATCGAAAAATTAGTATCAGAAAACAGCTGAGAAGATGGGCATTCAAACATGGGCGAGTATTGACGTTGCTTTAAAAGCTCAGTAAGCTATAGAATGATTAGTATCCTTATCAGTTCTCGTTAGACAGAGATATTCAACTTACACGCTCACCACGGTTGAGGGTCTGCTTGGTAGCAGCGTCGAGATCGGAACCGAACTGAGCGAAGGCAGCAACCTCACGGTACTGGGCCAAGAAAAGCTTCAAGGAACCAGCGACCTGCTTCATGGCCTTGAGCTGGGCAGCGGAACCGACACGAGAGACGGAAAGACCGACGTTGATGGCAGGTCGGACACCCTTGTAGAACAGCTCAGCCTCCAAGAAGATCTGACCATCAGTGATGGAAATGACGTTGGTAGGAATATAGGCAGAGACATCACCGCCCTGGGTCTCAATGACGGGAAGGGCAGTCATGGAACCACCACCAAGCTTGTCGTTCATCTTGGCGGCACGCTCGAGCAGACGAGAGTGCAGGTAGAAAACGTCACCGGGGTAGGCCTCACGTCCAGGGGGACGTCGGAGAAGCAGAGACATCTGTCGGTAGGCGACAGCCTGCTTAGAAAGATCGTCAAAGATGACGAGAGAGTGCTTGCCGTTATCACGGAACCACTCACCTAAACATCTGATCAGCAATGGAATTTCACAAGCGACGAAAAACAAGTTGATGCTGAAGAGAACAAAGTATTTGAGGTTTCACAAGATGTTGATGTGAGTCTGTCGCGTCGCGATAGATGTTCAATCGGAAGATATTCCCGTGACATGGGAGAGAAGGAGCTAAAAACTTACCAATGGAGGCACCAGTGAAAGGAGCGAGGTACTGAAGAGGAGCGGCCTCAGAGGCGGTAGCAGCAACGACAATGGAGTACTTCATGGCGTCGTTCTCCTCGAGAGTCTTGACAAGCTGAGCAACAGTGGATCGCTTCTGGCCGACGGCGACGTAGATACAGTAGAGCTTCTTCTTCTCGTCCTGGCCATCGTTCCATCGCTTCTGGTTGAGGATGGTGTCAAGACCAACGGCAGTCTTGCCGGTCTGACGATCACCAATGATCAACTCACGCTGGCCTCGGCCGATGGGAACCATGGCGTCGATGGACTTGAGACCAGTCTGGACGGGCTCGTTGACGGACTTTCGGGGCAGAATACCGGGAGCCTTCAGCTGAGCACGGCGCTTCTCCTTGGTGTTGATGGGGCCCTTGCCGTCAATGGGGTTACCCAGGGCGTCGACGACACGGCCGAGCATCTCAGGGCCGACAGGGACATCAACCTTGGCAACGTATTAGGTTCAAGCTGAATACAAGATATACAAAGTATGCTTACAATCTCGCCGGTACGCTTGACAGTCTCACCCTCCTTGACGAGACGATCAGAACCGAACAACACAACACCGACCTGGCCGGCCTCGAGGTTCATGCACATTCCCTTGACACCGGAAGCGAACCTATTACATAGTTAGATATGTGATGCATGACGAAACTGTTCCATATTTTGATCAGTACGTACTCGACAAGCTCCTCAGCCTGAACGTTGGCCATGCCGTGGACACGGGCGATACCATCACTGTAAGTTGAGTATTAGTATTGGCTGATCTCAATTGAGACGTTCCTGAGCGTCAGAGCGGCTGACAGCGTGGTGTTGATGTTTGAGAACATTATGCACCACCTGCGCCTTGCTCCGGTTGCTCCCAGTAAAGATCCACATACCCGACGGAGAGGACACGGCCAGTCTCAGCGAGACCGGACTCCTCCTGAACACCACGGATTCGCTGCTCGAGGATGGAAGAAACCTCAGTAGGAGTGGCCTTGGCGTCGGAGGCGTAGAATCGAGCGGCGTTGATGGAGGCGGGTGCGGCATTTCGGACCTGGTGGTGAAAAACAAGTTAGCCGAAGCCCGAAAAAGTCCTCGACCGGTCAGCGGCGACAGCGGTCCCAAATAGCTCAAAAAAGCTCATCCGAGACTGAAAAGCATAATCCAACTACTCAATTGAGCTTTTTCGATGGGTTGTCGATGGATGCACGGTATTTGGGGGCGCTGGTCGATGGCATTGTCGATTCGGGGGCTCGGAAGAGCACGTTTTAACTTACCGCGGCGACCCTGCCAGCAGCAGAGACAGCGCCGACGGCGCGCGTCGACTGTCGAAGGGCGTTCCGGAACATATTAGAGGTATACGGGAGATTTGGAGATGAAAGGAGAGCAATTGCAGCCGGGTGCAATTGGGAGGAGGGGAGATTGGGGAGTGCGGTGCTGCCTTTACAGGAGAGCAAATGGA